GGGGGGGGGGGGGGGGGGGGGGGGGGGGGGGGGGGGGGGGGGGGGGGGGAGGGTGAGGAATTTTGGCTTGGTGTGCGGATTGAAAGGAGTTCAACGGGGCGATCGAAGGAGGGCCAGAATCGCCTTGCTTGAGGGTTGCTTACTGCTTGCTGCTATTGCTAAAGATTGAGCTTGTCATCCTGATGGTTTCATTAGCAAATTATGGTGCGTGCGAAGCCTCTTGCCAGTTTGAGAACTGCAGACAAGGCTGCGAGCACACGGTCGTAGTCATTGGTGCTCCAGCGTGCGTTCCAACTCCCAACATGCCGGGTCAGGGGAGACGCACATTGATTTATTTCGTTGAGCGATGAGGTGTTTCACATTCACAGCGGCCGTGCTCGGAACGCAGTGGTACAAAGCGGCCAAGCAGTCGCAGCTTCTCAGAGAGCTTACCACCGGATGTAGACGACTCCCTTCTTCTTCACCACGTAGCAGTCCCGGCATATGCGCCTCACGGCGCTCCGGACCTGGTCCACAACACAATACCGAAAGCACATGACCGTTCCCCAATACAACCGTTAGTCTAACTGCCGTACAGCAGGCGGGGGGTTGCGGCGGAGCTGCTGCCGCAGTCTGGTATGCTATCATAACGCACATCGTGCTCGACAATGACAGCCGCAAGACGAACAATATGTACCCGTTGACTACTAGCACAGCAGCAACCGATCACAACAAGGCAACCGGACGCTGAGATAACATCCGCAGCACTAGCAACATGATGTCAAGGCAGCTTTGTCCTTCGCCTACAACAGCAGCAGCAGTACCGCTGTCTCCGCGGTGTGGGAGGGTGCACGCGGGCTGCTTTTTCTCTGGCCGGGCTACCAGTGTCCTATCCTGACAAAGTACACATTTTCATCAACGTTGATCAACTCACCCTCATCGCTGTGCTTGTGGCAGACGCCCGAACCAGAGAGTATTCGGAATGGTCACGCTGTGCTTGCTTGCAAGCCCAAAGCTTCCTCACAAGCTGTACTCTGTATACGTGAGGGCCGGGACAATGGGTTCCGCCGCATTTCTCCCTGGGGGCGGTGCGCGCCAAACCCGGATCTGGGAAAGCCGATGTGTAGGTTTCCATAACAATTAGGTTTACGCACACCCAACGCAACGACGCGCCAGAGGGGGAAAAGCCCATCCCAAGGACCATGAACAGAAGGAGGACCTTCGAGACTGCTGCATGCGGAAATGTAGGTACGAGCGACAGCTTAGTGCAGATACGGCTGATTTCTTCAAGCCTCCACACGCCCATCCCCGCAAAAAAATCAATCATGCAAAAGACCAACAACAGGTACATGGGAACACAGCAGCGCGGCTGCTCCGACTCAGGGCGAGCTAGTGATGTTGCGGTGGTGTTGCTGCTTCTGCGCTTGGTGTGTCGCCGCGTAATTCTTGTGCGGCAACAAACATTGGCAATCTGTCTATGATCTACTTCGATCTACGGGTGCGCGCAACAAAACGCGTGAAGTATGTGTTCGGCGTACACGATGTACAACAATGTAGACTAGGTACTTCCTGCGCGAGTTAATTTTACGAAGGTTATCCAAAGGGTACACGTGGAAAAAAAATCCGGACATATAGGCCACCCCCCACCCCACCGGAGGGGGAAGAATTTCGAAAAGTTACCATGAATCGTCGAAATTCACTATGAGGTTGCAGTAGTAGTAGATGGATGGCAAACGTGCCTCACGCTTGTTTCCCGCGTTCTGCGTCTACCTCCTCGTCGTGGAGATGCCGGCCCATCTTCCTACTACAGGAACTAACGGAAACAAGGAGCCTAGTTCGCGTAGCCCCTACCATCTACCAGAGAGTACAGCAGTAGTAGTAGTACCGTATCAACATCTTTATGAGTATCATCGATCGAAGCTCGAAATCAGTCCAATACACATTGGAACAGGTCGTCGACCAGCTTGCTCATTGAACCACCTGCCTTGCAAACTTGCCCGTACCACCTCCCCTACCTAGCACTGCACAACGAGGAACCAACAAAGTCTCGCAAATCTACTCGTAGCCTTGGTCTTCTTGTTGTAGTTTTTTTTCACTGGACCAATCGACCACACGGGCGGCTGGTGGGCTATGGTAGCGGCTGCTCCTTCCTGGGGTATGCATGCGAAGATTGCGACGATGACCCTGTTGTGTGCGGGGTGTCAGCCATCACCCGGAAATCTTCACAGCTCCACAGCGCCAGCAGCGCCAGTGGTCATCCATGCGAGAGCGGGACGCCAAAGCACCTAGGCCTCGGCAGAAAACTCGGGGATAAATGGATATATCCCACCCTCTCCCCCCGCACTAGACCCCGAAGTGCCGACGCCTCGACGGAAAACCCGGGGATACATGGGTATTTGTCCCCCCTCCTCCATTTGCTGTCGGGTTGGGTTTTCGTCGCTTGGCAACGACGTTGTGAAACAAGCCCCCCCCTCGGTGTTTGCCATCCGCCCCCCCCGGTGTTTGCCATCGGGGTTGGGTTTTCGTCGCATGGCAACGACGTTGTAAAACAAGCCGCCCCGCCCCCCCCGGTGTTTGCCATCGGGAGTGGGTTTTCGTCGCTTGGCAAGGACGTTGTAAAACAAGCCGATTCACTTCGTGAACTC